AAAGCAGCAAAAAGTAAGCATAGCTGTTTTTTACGAAGCATTACGAATAAACTTAGAAGCCCGATTACAAAATAATCAGTTCGTAAAAGTATCAATTGATATAGAACCACAAATAATGTTGTACAGAAAAGCCATATCTAATCTATAAAATTTGCCAAACTTACGCTCTAATTTTCAAACAACGTTCACATGCGTTTACTTAAATATAGAACGACATTGAACCTTGAAAGCACCTAAATTAGCTTCTCAACTTTTCACAAATATTTTGCTACAGCACAAAGATAAAAAGCTCAACCGCAAGCAGAAACTGCACTTCTTTGAAATCAGATTTGTCATGTGCACAATAGGCCAATCTGCTGAACTCATAGCCGGATTTTGACACTGGTCACTGTTCGTCTGTAAACTTCTAGCAACTTTTACAGAGGTTGACAAATGATAAGATTTCTCCAAAGAAAATGAGTCTGAAATAGATTAAAGTTTAACGAGTTGTACTAGACACTGTTTTAAGAGACTCTTAAACTGACCGTTTCTCAAAATAAAATTTTCAGGTTGCAAATAAAATCTTTTTTAAAAAAAAGTGTTGTTACATCAGTGAGATTACTGCTGACTAAAAAATTGTTTATTTTATTATTATTATTATTATTATTATTATTATTTTTTTGGTAGTTTAGTGCGAACTGCATCTTAAGTGTCAGTTCAACGTAAAAGTCATGAGACTAGATGCTGAAATTTACGCTTAACAAAATTAATCACGAGGTCTTTCTAAAATACTGAGTTGTCATGCCTTAAGAAAAAAGAAATTTTTATTTTTTGGATTAGGCGACTAACAAGTGAGACAGTGAATTTACGTGTCGGTATGATTTTGAATCTTTCACTTTCAACGAGTTACGGTTGCAAAAAAAGACAAATGAGTAATATGCACTACAACAAACTCTGTCGTGATTGCCACTATAAAAAACTGCACGAGAGGTGAAATAACAGTTTAGTGTCAGGTTTTTGAACGAAAAAGTTAGAAGGAACTTTTAAACTTCGAGATTTGACATTAAGACTGGCAACTTTCATCAGAGACTCAGAAAACTTCATAAATTTCTTGCTACTCTGATTATAAAAAAATACTCTTTTATTTTTTCTTTGATTATTAACTTTTTGCGTAAGTGGTTCAGCCGAAGTTAGAACTGGAAAATTGGTAGTACGATAGCGTTTGTTTTAAAATCATCTCGGCTATAAATAAACTTATCATGACTGACTAGCTGCTAGTTTATCCAAATGCGTTCATATTGGCCAAATACAAAGTTTTTCAAGAACGAAAATGGAAATGCAATAGATAAAAAAAAAAA